CAGATTCGTATTTATGCTGGTTTCAGTGTCCTGGGGTCACGTAATCACCTTTTGACAAAAAAATTTTTTTAAATCAAGCCCCCCCCCCCCCTGGTCAAGGGCGTCCCTCTTTTCCAATCTGAAAATCTGGTCACGTTACCCCAGAAGCACTTTGCAGGCCTCCCAAACTCTCTGCATGCCTCAGTTTTCAGAGAGTTTGGGAGGCCTGCAGAGTGCTCCGGGAAGCCAGAGAGGGCAAAAACTTTTTTAAAAAATTACCTTTTCAAAATCTTGATGAGTATTATTCTCAGGTGTTTTATAATCCTAAAAATATGGTACTTTAGTATATAAAATAAATAAATAGTATATGAAATAACATTCCTAAATAAGACTTGCACTTTTACTAAACCCATATTTTGGGTAAAGAAACAATAAAGATAACTTTGTTGGTCCATGGGCGGGGGAATTTGGAAATAGTTTTATTATGATTAAACAAAATCTTCCCATTCTCCAAGAGACCAAGCTTTTATAATTTCCAGAGCTCTTTAACAGTTTGGCTCCTATAAAAATGTAGAAAGGAGAGAATCTGAGACTCTTTTCTTTCTTGCCATATCTCATACTTTTTTCTTTGCTTAATGTGCCTGACATCAGATTAACAAACCCTAATCTAACTCTATCCAGGTCTGGGGACATGAATGCACACTTGGCTCCAGGTAAATTGGGATTTATTTTGATGTTCCTGAAAATTTCTGCTAATGAAAAAGCATTGCATAGCTTCTCTCACAATTTTTCTTCTTTTTCCTAGCTGAAAATAAAGACAAAAGCAACAGTATGAAAACATTGGGCAGATTAGAAATCAAGTATGTCCTATAAAATTCTATAAAAGAATCTTGACAATTCTAAATAGATTCACATGGAAGCATTCCTTCAGATATTATGTTAGTCACTTTGTACAACTGTAAATAATGACCCCAAACATGGGGAAAAGAAGGTCCGTCAGAAGTTCAAAGATGAAATAGGAGAAAAATTCTATTATATTTCACTGACATTCATTCAGTAATTGAAGTTTTAAAATATATGATTTTTCCCCATTTATAATTTGAGGGAAATGTATAATCAAATTTGCCTTGTAACTTTTTTTTGATTATTTAACAATTCCAAATTAACTAGCAAAAGAACATAAACATAATTTTGCTGCTTCGAATAACACACAAGTCCTAATAAACTAGTCTCAAGTAGCTGTCATAGTTATGTGATAATATATATTGATTGTTTCATATGTTGTATTTGGAGTTGTACTTATCTCCATATTATAAAAATGGATTAGCTTGGTGTACTACTATAGATTCTAGTGGTGTACTACATTAGTATGCAAGACTGATATAACACATAACAATGTGTCTGAATTTATACTACAGTGTAGTGGCGCTGATGGGAGTGATATATTAGTAAATATAATATTTATTTGGAATCTCATTTTGAAAATAATAAAGGATTCCTGCAAAAAAAATATTCTTCAATAGTTTTTTTGTTTCTCCTTTTTGATTCCTAGTAGTTCAAATAAAGTCCTTGAATTGGTCTCCCTTGTTGCCAGGTTTCACATCAACCTTATTCCACCGACAGAGACACTATTTCCAGTGGTGTTTAAATGTAAATTGTAAATGGAGTCCTAAGGCAAAATTGTTGTTTCTTAGCAACCCAGATGACTTGAATACAATTATGCACTCAGGCTTCTTTTTGCCACAAACAGGCATAAACATCTTCCAGAACAAACACGACTGTGAGTTTTTCTCTTTGCTTGGTTTGCTCTAACATTTTGAAGCCAAGTCTAATACAGCATGAGCGTTTTGAGAAAGGTGAAGGTGAGTAAAACTATTTAACATGTTTAATTCATTCTACATTTTACTCTGGTTACTTTTTAATGTATGCATTTGCTTGTTTCAGTGGAAATCATGTGATTTGTCATTATGGTCTATACTCTATAGTTTTGTTGGAACGCAGGCTGTCTAACTTGCAAGCTAACTGGTGATTTCATATATTTATCTGTTACCGGTGATTCTCTGCCATTCTTCCCCCCAAAAGCTATTTTCATAGCACTGAGTTTGCTTGATTTCTTTGAGTCGCTGCACAAAAAACCAACACCCCTTGTTGAAGTACAATGTTTCTGTTCATTATGTTATTTTATAAGTTTTCACAACTTTGTTAAAAGAGGTTCATGCTATTTTGCTTGTAAATTTTTTGTTTCTCTAATTCTCACAGCGAGTGCCATGTTGTTTAAGCTTGAGATGTTCTGCAACTCGAGTGTTTTCTATGCCTTCTAATTATTAGTTCTGAGAGAGTTTTATTGAAGGACATTCTTATGTAAATGTAATAATATGCACTGGTGAAAATGTTATGAGTGTACATGAAAGGGAATTGTTGTAATTTTAGATGTTGGTATTAGAATAATATATTTATTCACTGCTGTGGAATACCAAATTAATAACCAATAATAATAAATTTTATTTTTAAAAACTTTTTTCAGACTTAAGGGAGAAGTACACTATGTTTCCCAGTGCCCTTATCAAGAAGTCATCATTATGTTCTTTTGACTCAAAAGAAAAATTTTCTACAAACCTCAAGTTAGCATTAGAACGAAATCAAATCCGTATATCGCAGTGCAAAGCCCCTCCAGAAAGACAAGGGTGGATGTGCCAGCCACCAGATTTTAGCTATAAAGTATATTTATCTTCACGTAAGCCAGTTGGAAAGTTCCAAGAGCTGAAAAAAAAGGAAAAAAAGAAGACATTTTTTGAAGATTTACATAGAATAAGATCAGGATTGATTGTCCCAGAGGACAATCTGGGAAAAACAAAAGAAGAGGACAAGCAAACAAAGATTGTTACCAGGTTTCCTTATACAGGCTCCTTTGAATCCAAGTTAATGTTTATGAAGATGGGAAAATGTACTAGCAACATATACCAAGATCCCAAACCATATGACTTCAGACAGGTAAAAGTTCATCTGAGGTTGAAACAATAATCTGTATAATTGTCCTATATGGGACTTATGCTACTTTATACAGGTGATATCAATCCTAATTTGTATGAGCTACTAAACAGTAACAATGATCGGGTATCCTTTGAGAGGCTCAAAAACAACAAGACGGGAACTATGACCACTCAGTCAAAGCCTTACTCACTTTTGAACATGAGTGGCAGACACAACACACATAAAAGGGAGACAGGACTTTGTCTGAACTGCTATTTTGAACACTCTGTAAGTGTTCTCCAACAAATAAAAAAGTGCATTTTCTGCACAGTAGTACACTTGCAGCAAAAGCCTTGGCTATATGAAGATTGTGGTGTGGATCATATTTAACTGCCCTTTGGGAGGGTTAGTTTATGTGGCTAATAATAGCCTTTGAAAAATTTCTTTGAAGCCATGGAGATTCTCAGAAAATTATTGAACTATTGGAATATTTATCTTCAGTCCCCTTGCTGAGTTAGTGGCTGGAGAATTTTTGAGTTTTCTTATTAGACTCAAGTACTTTTAGACTAGTTCAACTTAAAATTTATTTCTTCCACTTATGTTCCATTGGTTTTCTCCCCCCGTTCACAGCATGAATTACTTGTAAATTACCCCCTCTGTAATATTGTTAAATTAGCAATATTACTTTCATTGCTGTGAAACTTTGAGAACACAGCTGAGACAATAACCTTTTCTAATGTAATGTTTTCATGCAAGAGCTGTTTTTGAAATGATTCACATATGGAAATTATTTCATTTTTTTATTCCATAATATTTTTCACATGGAGGTCTCTTTGTAGTTCATTTGTATTGCCTGCACGATTGTTACAAAAGATAGAATTTTGAGAAAACATGGTACCTTCCTGGAATGCACCAAATAGAAACTTATAATTGTGATTAAGGATGTTTTGTCGGTTTCCTTATTGGCTTCTAGACTTACAAGATTGACGTCAGCTCTCATAATCAGATAGGAAACATGACCAGATGCACTAATTCTACTTTATTGTAAGGCTACATTAACAGAATCTTGCAAGTTTCAAGGTATAAACTTCCTGCCACCACTTCTAACTGCTTGGCTGTTTAGGGTGGGTCTTTCCTAAGTTTCTTTCTTTGATCTATAAGCCATTGGAAGGGGACTCTTCCCTCATCTGACTGTTTCCTAGGTAGCATCTCTTCTCTTTATCCCCTCAGGACATCCAATTATTCCCTCACGTATTGTGAACTTAATTTTAAGGAACAAAATAGTTATATCCAGAATAAGTTGTATAACATCACCTTGAAAAACCCTACTAGAGTTTATACTGTATATCCATCTTACTGGGACTGAGAACTTTTTAAACAGCTTATCTCCAATCCAGTTCATTAATGGTCAAATCATTGATCTGTTGTCCAGATTTGAGTGAAAAGGAGAAATAGTTTTATTACCATTAATGTGTTTATGAGACCTTATGTATAAAGCTTGCTCAAACATCTTCAAATAACTGGTTTGTGTAATTGAGATCTTTAAAAGGTAAGATATGCTCTAAGACGATTTTAGAGCATTACAAGATCAATATTATGGCACCATAAGTCTTCCAGCAGTGTGTTTTTGAATTAAACTTCTACTTTGAAATAGAATACAGAATATAGGGAAGGAGGTGGTATGAAACCTACTGCAAGCATTTATGTGTGGCCAATTATCAAAATACCAGACTAATTGGAAAACTTATTTCTGACTTAAAAGGACCGTATATTATTAACAGACTGCTTTATGATCTTTAGAGCCTCTAAAGAAATGAACATATGGTTTATCACTGAAAATGTAGCAATAATTGATAGCAAAAAATGTTAGTCTTTTTCTGTTCTTTCTTTTTTGCATATGTTCATTGATCAGACTATGGTTAAGAAAAGCCCAATACACATATTTATAGTACATTATACCTCATTAAATGTTCATTTTCTTTTGCATTCTAACCCCAAATATGCATTTTATTATTACTACATTTCCTGAACTGCAAAATATGAAAACTGAAAGATAGCTTCATTCTGATCTCTCTTAGTTTTTGAAAGAGTGATAGCAGATCCCTTTACCTTAAGAGAAAAAACAAATACAATGTTTTCTAGTAGCCCAAAAGAAATTCATTTCAATTCCTGGATAGATTGATTAATTACATGCCATCAAGTCATTGCCAACTCTTAGTCACCATGTAAATAAATTTTGCCCATGATAACTGTGTTCCCAACCTCATATTTCAGATCTCCCACAGTACATCTATTGCCATTGTAATTGAGTTTATTCACATTGCTGCTAGTTGTCCTCTTCTTTTCAAAGGTGCTTTTTCAAAAACTGGACTTTTTTTTCCCTTAAGGAAGAACAACAAAACATTTTGCTTCTCATCCAAGACGCTCCATCAGTTGTGATGGCAATTGGGGGAGTGGGAATGGAAGGATAGATATTGACAGTTAGGATTGAATGGTGGAAGTTGGAAAGATACATTCTAACCAGATAATATGGGAGGGGAATGAAAGGATTGTATTTCTTTGCAGTCATCTGGTTGTTAGCATTCTCCCTTAGAGCTCTCGAGGCCACTTGGGAACTTTATCTTTGCCCTAAGGGTCACTTGAATCAGAGCGCAATTGGTGGAATTTTCTTGGAACTGCTGCAAGCTCCAAACTTAATTGCAGAAAATATGACTTCAGCAACAGAGTGGTCAACGCCTGGAAAGCATTACCCAACTCTGTTGTTACATCCTCAAACTCCCATAACTTTAACCTTAAACTGTCTACTGTGGACCTCACCCCATTCCTAAGAGGTCTGTAAGGGGACCTGCATAAGCACACCAGCGTGCCTACCATCCATGTCCTACTGTTCATTTCTTATGCATATACTTTTACCTACTTATACTTATAGGTTCATATGTTATATTCATACTTATACTTGTTTTATCATACATGCTTGACAAACCAAAATATAAAAGGGTAATATTGTCTACTGGAGATAGGTTGCATTTATGCCCCCCCCCCAACTTCTCTGTTGTGAAGGGCATTTCTATTTTCAAAAGAATAGGTCAGAAATTATCCTTCCATCCCACACCACAGTCTCAACTGTCAGTCTATTCCCACCACCACCATCATAACTGATGAAGTTTCTTGGATGAGAAGAGAATTTTCTTTTTCTTCTTCCTGAAGGAAAAACCATCCAGTTGCATTTTGAAAGAGCATCTTTGAGACAACTATGACCTGGTTGACTGGGAATCTCTGCAGACAATCCTCTTCTTCCCTTACCCTTCCACCTTTCCTAGCATTAGAAGCTTCTCCAGAGAGTTAGATCTGCACATAATGTATCCAAAGTAAGATTGAGTTTTGTTTCTGAATTGTTTAATATTAATTTGCTTATTTTAGAGTAATTATTCAAAAGATCCATTATGAATGCCTAATTGGAGACAATTCATGAAACATGTCTTTAGAGTTGCTTGCCATCAAAACCATATTTTTCTCCTTTGTTTCCCCCCTCCCTTTGCAGTATGAACAAAGAAGACCAGATTTTGTGACAAGTTATGCCAGGGATCCTTTAAATCTAAAGTTCAAATCACAATGCTTAAGCAAAAGTAAGTCTTTGCTGATGTGTTAAGGTAAGTATGAAACTTTGAATGGATCATATAAACATTACAGTTTAGGCATAATCTTTGCATATTAATAGATATTGAGATGAAGATACTTCAAGAAGTCAGAGGTGCTTGAAATTTGATCTATGACCATTAATTTTCTGGAGTGAAAACATACAGTGTATACATGGGTTGAGCCCATGTAGCTATTTGTTTACTTTTTAGAACAAGTACAAGAAAGATTAGCTGTTAGCTAATAAAATATTTGTTTTCAGTCCCATTTGGCACTCTATGTATAGGATTCTTGTGCCAACATTAATTCTTGGAGATGTTTAAAGTTCAACTAATCTTTATATATTAATAAGTATAAAATCAATAAGTAGCCCCATTTTTAATGTTTAGGACATGACAAATACTCTAAGCTATATATTGTGTTCTCCATACCTCACAGATACAAAAATAGCAGTGTTAAATGATAGAGTGTGATCCATGAAATTACCTTTGGTGGAAAGTGGAATATCTGCTGCAGTTCTTCCATAATTTCACACAAGATTGAACATAGATTCTCACAGTTAATAGTAACACCACTACACAGTTTGGGCAGGGCTACAGTAATGTGGAACAATTGTGTTGGTCAATGGGTTCAAAATGAAGGAATTAATTTTCCTGCTTTCATTCTTATAATGTAAGATAAATTTAAGCCCACAGCTTTCTATCGAAGATGGAAAATATCGTCTAATGGTAGCCCCTATTTAAAAAAAAACCAAACATCTTCAGATAACTGAAAATAATTGGGAAAATATTGAATCATTGTATTAAGTACTCAGTAAAGAAGGTAAAATGCTAACAGATAACAAATTCATCTGCAATTTTGGGTACGTTTTACTTTACAAAAGTGTATGTGCTCCACTAAGAAGCTATGAAAAATATAAAATACAGAATAATAGGAGTTGGAAGGGACCTTGGATGTCTTTTACTCCAACTCCATATTCAAACAGCAGATCCTATACCATTTCAGACAAGTGACTGTTCAATCTCTTCTTTAAAATCCTGCAGTGATGGAGCACCCATAACTTCTGAAGGCAAGCTGTTCTATTGTTGATTCACCATTAGGAATTTTCTCCTTAGTTCTAGGTTGCTTATCTCCTTCTTTAGTTTCCATCAATTATTTCTTGTCAGTTTGAAGATACAAGGCATTGAAATAGGTAGGCATTTCCTGACCATGCCCCTGCTTTGAATTTAAATCATGGTTTCCAGTGAGGATTCATGTTGAATTAGGCATCCCTGAAGACCAAGGTAGCACTGCAGTGGAGACCTGAATCCAAACAGTAAATTCTGACTACTGCAATCTTCCCAGATAAAGGAGAGATTGTATGGTCACCCAATTGGATTCTGGACAGTTGCTCCTTGTTAATAAATTGCAGAACCTGAAGTTTTTTATAATTGGTTCTTGAGTTGAGGGAGAGCAAAGCCACAGGCAGGGCAAGCTTTGGCCTAATTTTCTACCCAGAAACAATTCAGACGCTTCATTTAGTCCCCGTCCCCCCACGCACAATGCCAGAATCATATCACAGTGGTGCAGACGTGTGTGTGTCTAAATCTAAATTTATAATTTGTACTCAAATAGAAATATTCCCATGAGGATACATATATAGCACATATATAACTTTTTGTATGATGCCCATATCTGTTTGCCTATTTGCCTGTTTGAGGTTGATTTCCGTCAAGTATATTTCGCTCTAGGTAATGTCAATTATTAATAAATAATATCAGTAGTCCTTGACTGACAATCAAAATTTAGCCCAAAATTGTTTAATGTGAAGTACATTTGTTAAGTGAGGTTTGACCCACAGTTGGGTCCTTTCTTGCCTTTCTTGTCACAGTTGTTAAGTGAATCACTGCAGTTGCTAAGTTACGTGGATCTGACTGTTAAGTGGATCTGACTTCCCTACTTGTCAGAAGGCTGCAAAAGGTGATCACATGATCTTGGGACATAGCAATAGTCATAAATATGAAACAGTTGCCAAACATATGAATTTTGATCACATGGTCACGGGGAAACTTCAAAGGACATAATTGTGAAAAATTGTCATGAGTAACTTTTTCAGTGCTGTTGTAACTTTGAATGGTCACTAAATGAACTTTTGTAACTACCTGTATAAGGAAGAAGCCATTTATTGTGGGAAATAGGATCTTGGACTGAGTAGGTCTTTAATCTCACCTATAGAATTCCTTTTACTTTCCTCAGTTCTACTGAACTTGCAAAATTAGTCCCTTGCATGTCTCTAATTCTGTCTGTTTCTCTTTTTAATAATGTGTGTTGCTGACCAAAATCAAATAGTTATTGAGTTGGGAGAGTATTCATTATTCAGTATTTATTAGGAATACTGTACTTAATGTTTTTAAATAGGCAGTTACTGTTATTATAAGATTTAATCTACTATCTGCATACTTTGCAAAGTGCCCAATGATACCTGAGGGAGAAGCTAGATGAGAGTTTTTTGGGAGAGTGGGAGGTAATCCCATTGCTGAACAAGTTTTTTTTTTCCTGGGGCCATTTTCGGGATACTTCAGTGAAAGTTTGCAGGTAAAATTTGCATCCACATAGTTTTTATTACACTATTTTCATTTTAAAATTTGATGTTAAAACAACTTCCAAAGCTCTTTTTTGTAAATAGTCTAGACATGCTTTAAAATAGTTATTTCTTAATTGGTTATGGATAGAGTAGATTGAGTAGTTTAAAAAAAAATCAAAAAAGGAAAATCCACTACCACCTGATTACCAGAAAATTACTGGGGTCCATGGATACCTTACTTGACTTGAATACTTAACATTGTATTTTTAAAACGCTCCTGCCTTTTTCTAAAGTAATAAGAATAACACACACTCTGCTTATTATTAAAATAAGTGCAGACAATTTGCATTGTATTTTCAAGTCTGCTTTGGATTGCAGGATTAAGTCCTTCTATTGTTAATAATAGTGTGGTATGGTTATTAAGCACAAACTATTGTTTATTTGTGAATTTGCTTCAGTTTATGGACTGCCTGCTCTGAAAGATGAAAAAAAAAAGTCCAGCTCAAAAGAAAAATTCATCACCCACAAGCCTAAAGAACTGAAGTGGGATTCAAAGCTATTTCTACCCAAGGAACCTTGGCCTATGAAGGCTTGTTCCTTTACGGTTAGTATAAATCAGTGTGATACTTCTGCATTTGTCCATAGTTTTTGAGCATTTTAAAAAGAAAATATTAGTTGTTGGAATTTTAAAAGCCTCGGCAAAGATTGTTATTTGCTGGAGTTTAACCTCCATGGAAACAATCAAGAAAGCAAATATCTAAAGACATATTAAAAATCTAGTTCTAGAGTTTCCTAAATTTCAAAAGTAGTTATTGCTAATGAACTGATTTTGAAAATGTTACCTTTTTTGCTTTGTGTAAATTGCATCATAGAAAGTATGCAGGGGTAAGTTCCAGCTTCTGTTACTGCCAATTCACTCAGGGATGTGTTTTTCGTGTGCTTGATGCACACTATGTGTTCATGCACAGTAGTAAAAAAAATTGCTTCTGCGCATATACAGAAGCAAAAAACAAGATGGCAGCCCCTACGGCACCACCAATATAATTGGTTCGGGGGCATGGCCAGCCGAATTACTACCTACTCAGCCAAACCGGTCTGAACCGGTAGGAAACCAAGGTGGCGCAGTGGTTAAATGCAGCACTGCAGGCTACTGCTAGATCAGCAGGTCAGCGGTTCAAATCTCACCGGCTCAGGGTTGACTCAG